CCTCCCCCCCCCCCCCCCCCCCGAACAGAACAACCACCCACATGGGCAGCCGTACACCGGGCCCGCTGCTCAGCACATGAACAACCCTCAGCGTCCTGGTCCTGCCTCTGCCCCAACTCCGGGCCCCGCCCAGACCACCCCCACACCAGGCCCTGGTCCCACTCCCGGCTCAGGTCCGCGAGCACAAGAGAACTGGGAGAGCACCGAGGAGGTCGCCCCGGCCCCGACCCCGGCTCTGGCTCCGACCCCAGCTCCGGCCCCGGCCCCGGCCCCCGCGCCCACCACCTCCTCCACTACCCCAGCGCCTGCCCCGCCTAAGGAGTAACGTCCCCCCCTCTCTCCCCTCTGCTGTGCCTCGAGCCTCAATCGTCCTGCTCTCCTTCCTCTCATCCTTCGGTCAACAGAGCTCCTTGTCGGGCCTCTCTCTTTCTCGCTCTCTCTATGTCTCTCTCGCTCTCGCTCTCTCGCTCTCTCGCTCTCTCTCTCGCTCTCTCTCTCGCTCTCTCTCTCGCTCTCTCTCTCTCTCTCTCTCTCTCTCTCTCTCTCTCTCTCTCTCTCTCCCCCCTCTCTCTCGCTCTCTCTCTCCAGCCCCAGGGCAGGGCAGAGCCAGGGCTCCCATCCCCTCTCCAGGCTACCTCCGGGCGGCGCTCTCCCCTGGCCTGGAGCGGCCTGACCGTGCGACATGGGGCCTGCTGGCGGCTGCAGAGGTCGAGGGGAGTGGACAAGAGTTCTAATAAAGAAAAAAACAAATTCACCCGGAGCTGACGATGCTGACGCGCTTGTCTACACGACGAAAAGGTGTACATAGTATGTTAATGTTTCTGACTGTTCAGATCCCCCAGTAGCATAACTGTGTGGTTTGCTGTTGGGAGATGTCGCAGATATTATGAAAAAAAAAAAAAAAAAAGTGGATATTATAAATAAGAAAAATGCCCCAAAAAACTGTAAGAAGACAACGACTCCTCTTTGTTTTATCACCCATGCTCAGCAGTAAAGTTTGTTCTACCATCTGACGGTTACTGGTCATTCAACTGTAGAAGGACGCATTGTTATTATCATAATTATATTATTATTCTTAAGCTCCTTGGCAACCTTATGACCCATGCCAAATCAACTCACGAGCTGTGGTTGGTTTTAGTGTGATGGAATGGTTGGGTGGACTTTTACGGTGTTTTTGGTTGATGTGAAAAAGCAGTGATGCAACATTGTTCTGAAACTCATTGCCTTTCTTTTTCTTTTCTTTTCTTTTGTTCTGGTAATTAATTCAATCCTTTTTGAAGCTCTAGTTAATATGCTGTAACATTTAGCATGGCTTCTCACCAGAATAGTGTAGCCCAAGGGAAGACTTGTGATCATAACAACCTAAAGCTGTTCTTAATCCACATCTCCAGAGGGGTGCTGTTACCCTGAGGTTCTTTTGTTTGGGTTTTTTTTCTACTCATCTACCCTATCTACAATGAGGGTGATATTTTGAACCAATGTATGAATAAGTGGCTTTTCAATTGCACATTATAATCCTCCAACTTCAACATTTGGCAGTCCGTTTTTTGGTGGGATAGACAGCTTAGCTTTCATCGTTAGGAATTCTGAAAAATGAAACATATGCAACAGAAGCGCTGCACTGGGGTCACCCGGTGTCGCATAGACTGTGGTTTGCTTCCGTCTCTTCAATAGAGCCTAGTCGTAGACAGACTCGTTGCCCATCGGCTGCCTTTCTGCCGTGGAGCTGGTCGAGTTCAGTGAGACCCTCGCCCTGTGGCTCCACGGAGAACAGGTCCCACAGCAGGGTTGTACCGTAAGAATAGCGGCTGGTTAGTCATGTTGCAACTTGAGCTAATTTGTAATTCTGTAGGAGTAAAAGGTAAACATCAGTAAATACTGTAATTTAATTGGTAACTTGAATGCATGTATTCTTTTGAATTTTTTTCTTTCTTTTTTTTTTGTCTAAAACATACCAAATACTCCTGCAAATGAAAATATTCTGCCCATCGTATTATATTTAAATATTTTGCTCTTATTTTATAGAATTTATTTTGTTGTATTTCACAAAAAAAAATAGAATTTGATTTAAGAGGAACATTTTTGTCCTTGTGTTATTTTTAAAGGAGATATTGACTGTACAGAGTTCTGCGCCCTGTTTTTTGCCGACTTTTGTTTTGGCCATGGTGTGACGTTGAATTCTGGAGCTACAGTCGCGATGTGGACTTTCACTTTGTGAGGTGTTTTGTGCACAGAAATATAACAAAAAAAGCATTGCGCCCTTAGCAAATAAAGAACATGGAATCTTGCCCGTGTCTCATTTTTACTTGTGGACAACAACCACCAAGCTTTGCCAACGTTCTTCCACAAAGCATGCAGCTATACACACAAACTAGATTAATTTTTTTACTTTTTTATTAACCAAGTTTGGAAGTTGTTTGTTTCTGCATCTGATAATTTGGGTTCAGGTTATTAGGTACACCTAGCTAAAACCAATGCATGTTATTTTAGAGGATGTAGTTTGTGCTGCAGTTGAACTTATTTATCCTGCCTCCATTGATCTAAGTGGGTTGGACAAAATAACAGAAATAACTCTTAATGTAATTCAGTTCAGCAGCACGACAAACTACATCCTCCAAATCAGTGAAAACAAGAACGTAACTGTTGTGAAGGTAGAATGTATCGCAGTACTGTTGAATTAGACTGTTGGTTTTAGTTTGGTGTACCTAATAAACGGGCATAAATTAGTGTTTCTATAAATGTGACCGTGTAGACCAGCTTGCAAGTTTTGAACTCAGGACGTCAACCCTTCAATACAGCCTTTGAAAGATGTACCTGCCACTGAGTTGCATTATGGGAAATGTAGGAACCAGTGTTTCTGGAGTTACTGGCTACTACAGACCTGAAGTCACGATGTCTCTGCTGCTTCAACTTTGACTGTTTTTTAAAGGTCTGTCTCTTTGGAGAGCCTCAGCATTATTGATGTGACATGGATTTTATTGTCGTTCCCAACTCGAGGGGGGTGGGGCAGCCTTCAATTGGTCTCAAGAAAATACCTAATGCTTCTGTAATATTTTTTTCAGTTTTTCTTGAGAAATGCTGGAGAACTTCTGCATGTCTAAAATCCCTTCAAAGGAAAACAATCCCCTCACTTTGTTCCACAAGACGACCTTAATCTTTGAGTGGCTCACAAAAACCTTTCCAAATAAACTTTGGAATGTCTGCGCTATTAAGTCGGCCTACGAACAGATCCATCACTGGCATGAGGGCTGACAAGTGTCCTGATACAGGGACATCAAGCTCAGACTAGTGTACTAGTTTAAAAATTCTACCTCAACATTCCTTCAAACGGCTGTAGTTCGTGCTTTTCTAGTATTGAACAGTACATAATCTATACCAGCTACTGGTGTAATCTAATATCTCAACGGATGAATGTTTTGCAACATTGTCCTGTATCAGTCCGAGATATATGTATCCAATACTATCCTCAAAATGGAAGATTACCTGCTGTAATAGTGTAGTTTGATTAGTAGCCAACATCATAGTGTCTGACTGTAAGATAATTACAAAACCAATCTTTTTAATGTAAAAAAAAAAAACCTTAAAAGCCCCACAAACCTGGTTTATATTACAACTGTAAATAAATCCTATTTGTCCATCTGGAAGCAGAAACTTGTTTTGTGTTCGTAGTACACTTGAAATAGAAAAACAGGTGATCCTGTTTTTTAGTAGCTCCGCTTTATTCTGTTGTGACGATGATTTAACGAGCTAAACAGAGTTCAATCATTACATTCGTGATGATCTACAATAAGGTGTTTTGTTAATCTCTGACCTGTGTTTGGACCCAGAAATGAACAAACTGAACAGATTCTTTTGGAACACGTTTTATTATCAAGAAAGTCAGATTTAGTTCTCCTTCTCCTGGACGGTCTTTGTTCCGCGCAGTCTGCCTGTACGACGGGCAGCGATGAGACCAACCTTGCGACCAGCAGGTGCATCCCTCCTGATTGTTGAGGGTTTGCCAATATGCTGATGGTTACCACCACCGAAGGGATGCTCAACGGGCTGCACAGAGAGAAGAAAAGGGACATTAGTCAGAGGAACCATCATTTGTTCTTGGAGACTTCACAGTGATGGAACAAAAATAAACTTCCTCCTCTCCCCTTGCCTTGTTTTCAGTGCAGAAAATGTGCATAATATTAGCTCCAGACACCCGGCATCAAACAAGCTTGTATTCAGTGTGTGGTTATATTTTAAAGACATTACAGTCACAAGGTGCTTCACTTTGAGAGACAGATTTTGTTTTTTTAAATGAAGACCCTCACAAGGGTGAAACCAACACCATCCTATAAAGTAAAAAAGTGGTCCACCCCTCTAACGCGCGTCTACATTAAGACCACGTCCTCATGTCGGCACCGCCTTCTACATAGACGAGCAGTCTGACCCACGTCACACATCAAAATGTGCTCGATTTAACATGTGCGATGTCTGAAAAACTCTTGTAACTTCTTCAAGATAAAAAAATACAGGTTTGGAAAACAGTTCATTAGCTATTGAGAACTTGAGGGGAGCCATGTAGAAATGACAAGACGTTAAAGCCTTATGGTCACCTCCTCGTGAAACATCCCTTTCTCCAGATTCTGATATGCTGCAAAACATAGCCTACCAATAAAGCTGTTTGATGGGACCAACAACAAAAAAATGCAAATTCCAGTGATAGCTCTTCCCACTGGAACGATCTATTTTGCAAAATATGAACCAAATGAAATGCGTTCATACGTGCACCCACTAAGTCAAGATTGCCATCTGTCTACACGTCATCTCTCACTTCTCTCAGCTGTTCCTCATCCTTAGTGGACTTCAGAAAATCAGTTGTACCTGGTTTGCGTCACAGATAACATTGCTGCAGTGTGCTCGTGTTCTCTTACGTTCATGGCCACACCACGGACACGTGGCCAGCAGTTCCTCTTGGCCTTGTACTTGTGGTAGGCACGACCAGCCTTTAGGATGGGCTTGTCAATACGACCACCTCCGGCAACCACACCTTTCACAAACACACACAAACAGGGCAGAGCTGGTCAAAAAATGCACCGATACACTCATATTCTGCTGATCGTCACTTTACGTCCAAGTGTCAACGAGGAAACATCAGCTCCGCAAGACACACTGAGGTCCTTACCGACAACTGCTCTGTTGGCAGAGGAGATGACTTTCTTGGAGCCTGAAGGCAGCTTCACTCTGGACTTCTTGGTCTCGGGGTTGTGGGAGATGACGGTGGCGTAGTTTCCTGATGCGCGGGCCAGCTTGCCTCTGTCGCCGGGCTTCTCCTCCAGACAGCAGATGATGGTTCCCTCGGGCATTGTGCCAACGGGCAGGACATTGCCGATGTTGAGCTGAGCTGTGGAATTAAAAAATATATATTTTAAAGGCACGGGCTTCACACTGAAACATCTTACACTTCCATCCAACAATGTGACCTCAATTTCACTGGTTTACAAGAACCCATTTCTGTCCTTATTCTAACAATCCCATCACACAACTTTGAAATGGTGCTCCGATCGTCATCAGCTGATGATCATTCTAAGAAGTTTAATTGGTGGTCTCTATAAAAGGCCAATCAGATGACGCACCGATTCTAAGTTCAAACATGTTCAATACTCATTTGCTTGCTTTCTCTCCTGCTCAGAGCGACACAGCTGAAGACGCATGCATGCGAAGGCCCGGCACCGCGGAGCTCCACAGCCGGTTCGTCATCTGCACCAATAGCTTCGGCGCCTCACTGATCTATTTTTTCCATTAGCTAATCTGGCAAGAAACAACACTGCTAGTTAAAAATAGAAAAGGATATATTTCATACGACATAAACAAATGCTTGCCTACCCTTTTTAATGTTCCTGCCCAGAGTGAATCAAGCACACAAAGAGCAGAATCGCTTATTGACCGGCGTGGAGAAATTACTCCAAACAGACCCCGTGATCTGATTAGACTATACTGCTCCCTGTTGATCGGCACCAAAAATCATGATCAGAGCACCCTTACTACTTTGGATGCAACTCCCTGTAGGCTGCCACATGCAAGACTGAATGTAAACATGAGATTCACTCATGTTAAAAGGATTTTGAGGCATCATAACAGCATACAGAGCCAACAGAAAGATGCCAGATGCAGTGAAATTTGTCCAAAATGTTTCTATTTCAAACCCCGGTGGGACTCCAGGATTAATAGGAACGCACTTAAAACACTGAAGGTGAACTAAATTCACCAAAATGTTTACTATCCAAATGTGCTGACAATTTCAATGTTTAAGCCTTCAAAATATTTTTTCCATTAACATCGTGACTGCAATCTCACCAAGTCGGCCATAATAACATTTACAAAAAACTTTAAATGGTCGTGGATTTACTTTGAGTTCAACATTAAAGCAAAAATAGCTTTTCAAATCCATCGCTTGATGGCGTGCAAGCAAAACAACTGTATCTATAATGACCCCGTCACATGTGAACCACGTTGGGAGTGCTAGGACAGCAGACTAGTCCAAACAGTTGAGGTACTGTGTTCATCTGCCTCATGCTGATCCAGGAGAGCCTACTTTCAGCCTCGTACCCTTCTTGCCGCAGTAGATGAACTGTCCGGTGTGGATGCCCTCAGCAGCGATGAAGAGCTCCGTCCTCTTCTTGAATCGGTACGGGTCACGGAAGGCCACTTTGGCCAGGGGAGCACCACGGCCAGGGTCGTGGATAATATCCTGAGAAGAGAGGGTAGACCACCATAGGAAAACAACGTCAGTCTGCATTCACCAACAAGTATGAGGACTTCAATCTGCTCCTATAAAACGTGTCTGAGTGCTAAACTAACTTTACCTTCACGATCCCCTTGATGTAACCATGGCGTTCAGCAAAGTCGATGTGACGGAGTTTAGCGGCACCTTTCCTGTGCTTGATGTGGGCTTTGAACACGGAGCCCGCACCTTTTCTCTGTCCCCTGATCACACGTCCCATCGTGTACTGAAACAAGACCACAAGACAGCGTTATTTACCAGCTGGGCATGCGAGTGCTAGCTTTGAGGCCTGTGGCTAATGCTAATGGCTAATTACTGACTTCATTCAACAAGTTCACTTTCTGAAGGGAAGGTTATTAAGCAGCCATGACAGGAGTTTACTAAACAGCAGTTAAGAGCAACTTTAACCTGATGTTCCAAACTAAATGTTTCACTTAGAAGCTATCCTCAGCATAGCAAGCTAGCCACCGTGACCTAATGTATGCTAACGTCACGGTATACAGCGGGATATCGTTTGACAGTAACAGCGCAACTTGCTGTAAATTTACTGGCAATTGTAAATACATAGACATTAAATATAACTTGTGTAAACGGCTCACTTAAAAGATAAAACACAGACCCTTCCCGCTTGTAGCGCCTACCGGCCTTTTAGCCGTTACGGCACCATGTTATCACGGAGCTACTCACAACCACAATTAAATGCTTCAAAATATGTCTACCAATAAAATACTCAGTACAACTTATTCTCATACATTTAGCGAATATTTAGATCTGTTGTATTACAGTGGATGAACTAACAAAATCATGATTTAGAGCAGATTTTAGGATGGGAATCAGACTGTAGATGTCATACCTAAACTCCGTTGACGGAAAGAGGAAGTGCAAGGGAGAAGCGGAGGTTTTCTTCCGGATAAATCACCGCGGTGGATGATGGGAGTTGGAGGACTACGTTGTGTAACTTCTTGAAATATTTCAACCCTAAAAACAAGTTTATTTTTTTCCTGAAAAAACTGTAAAAACGATAGGTATAGTCCGAGAGCAATCACTCCATTATTACAATTTTTTCCACATTTGTTCGCTATTTTACAAATAAAGCCAGTATAACAGAATATCCTGAAGTCGTATATCATTGTAAAGCTTAAACTATAATCTATCTATACCAGTCACATTTGAATGACGCTAAGGACAACATAATTTGACCTTTGCCCTCTAACGATGCAATAGGGCAAATTCTGAATGCATCAAATGCCCGATAACTAACTTCCTATCTGATGGGCCTTTGGATGCGTCCACCATAAAGAGCTTTAAAAATGATATATTACATGAATAACAACAATAACAACATTTCTTATCAGAATAAATTTAACTTTTTGTTGTTTATTTCTGATAAAGCAGAAATACAAAATAATACAAAAACCTTCGTGAGAAATGAATTCTCTAGGTTTATGTTTGAACTTGCATTGTGATACAAGTGATTAAAAAATATTTTGCCACGCATGAAACACTGGATTGTGACCTGAATTGTTCCTCATTAAAGCCATGAATTTGTAGGAGAACAACCTCAATGTTGCGTTAAACATTTGGGAGCTGCAGCTCTGTCATCAGACTAGCTGAGGTTTTAGGTGCTTTTCATGGAGCAAAATCACAGCTGCAGCTACAAACTGCAGCTGTGATTTAGCATCAACACTGGAGAGATCAGCTGAAGCCACTAGATGTCACTGCAGCTGTAAACAGATCCTGCTGCATGCTGGTTTTCAGAGGAACTTCTGAATCTTTAAATATTTAACCACCCAATGGAGGACAAGTTATTATACTGTCCAACTAATGTAATATCATTTCATTATACTCAAAAAATAAAAAGACATATGCTTCAGTTGATGTTTGATGCCAAGATGAGGGTTACTGACTATCTGTCAAACTGAAGCGGTCGATTCATTCAGGTCACAGATAACAAAACCAAACTGAAATCATTAAAACAATGTATTGTATGACTGATTCCCGCTGCAGTTTTAATGTAAGCTAGTTGACATATTTTTGATACTATAGATTAAGTGTTATGGATACGATGTACTTTTTTTTAGATAAAAATATAAACCTGATGTTCATGATGATCAAAAGTGCAGCTCCTGATATATTGTTTTAGAGGCATTTCTGAATATTTCCTTTCAGGAATTAGTGTTAATGGTGCAAAGTAAAAACAAAACAAAAAATAAGCTTAATTGCAGTTTTACAAAGTAAATGAACTAAATGAACTCACAGCATTGTGTGAAGTTGTCTGAATGATGGAAGGATCGTTATGTGTCCAGTTTAACTGCCATTTAGCTGAACGTATGTCAGAAGAGAACGTAGTTATTTGCTGTTACCTCTAAATCAGATTTACATTTTACAGCTTTGAGGGAAGATAATAACCACTGCTGGAACACATTTGTAATCCCCCATCATTCATGTGCTAAACTGGTCTAAAATAATATGAAACAAGCTACGAATCGTTATGCTTTGGAAAACGTTTCTCGAGGCTACGCTTCCATTATTTTTATTATCAGTGATCTCAGGCCAATAGATCAGTAATCATTTTTACACAACCTTTACTTGTAGCTCAAAGACATTCATGACATCTTACAGTTGGTCTGCCAGAAGAGTCTCTACAACACCGGAGCAGAGCCTGTAATATAATGATCTCTGTCTGACTTTGTACAATATTTGTTGAAATTATTTGTTTTTGGAACTATTGTTCCGTTTCATTTGTTTAGTCATCATGTTGGCTAAAGGTAACTTTGTCCTCGAACACAAAACCTGAATCATTCAATATTCCACATGACTGTATTAATCAGCTATTTAAAAAATGAGGGAGCTGTATAGGAAGCAAATATTTTCCATTCGACAGTTTTAATTATATTATGTTTAATTTTATAATACAAACTGTTGGCTATTGGGTCAGTTTTAATCGTTAATAACTAGGTTATGACCAGGTTGGTGGTTATTAATCCTTTCAGATTACAATATATTATTACTTTGATTTTACTCGGTTGGCAAATAAGTAATTTCTTGATATGTAATTGAATATCTGTCAATAAAGTAGTGAGGACATTTTTCTTTGTATGAGATGCTGCAGGAGTTTCTGCAGAGGCAAATGAAGATGAGACACATCATGAAACAGATAAAATCAGTCCAACGATGTTTTATCATCCATTAACCGTCCATCAACCCTCTTACTCGCTCACACGCATGCACGCACGTCAGTGAAAGTCATGGAAACCGAACGGTGACGCTCTACCGAGGTTACCTCAGGTCATCAGGTCTCTCTGAATCCTCATTCGCACTTGGACTTTACACGAGTTCGCCTGTGAAAACTTTTCTGCTGGAAAGCTGAAATCTTGAAAAAACCCTGATCGCCTGGAAACTAACTTCTGGAGAAGCAACTGTTGGAAAACTGATCTGAAGAAAAATCCCAAGGACCAAACACATTTACAAATTATTAAATTATTATTTACCATTATCATACTTTCCTTTAATCCTACTCCACCACCTGAGCTGCTGTTGTTCACTGTGGACGAAGAAGGTACGTAAGAGCTTCTGACATGTAAACAAAGTGACATAGTCTATAATGTAAAGGCAAAGTAACAAATGTGCGCTATTGTATTTTAAATCTGTTCTATATATATAATATACAGATATATAATCTGTATCTATAGCATGCTTATCCTTACTTTAAATAATAGGGTGATTAAAGAATCTGACATCAAAATAAAATCGCTTAGAATAAGCTAGAATTTAAAGACTGAGAAAATAATATCTGTTATTTGGTTGAAACTCCATGTAATACTGTTTAGTCAATAAATTCAAGAGTTTCTGTCGAACCATTATTCATCTTTTTCTTCTCTTACTCCGCCTCCCGACCCAGCCTCAGTGCTCCTGCGATACGTGTGAAGTAAAATAGTGTTTCTAAAATATATGTTTTAAATAAACCTTTGTGTTTGACACATTCTTTTTAAGCTAAGTTGTAAAGATCAATTTGAATATTGTTATACTCTTTAAAGTCAATGTATTTTCAGGGTTAATGAACAAAAGGGTCGTTTTTAAAACAACATACATGCAGACACAATATTATAAAGTCGAGCATAGGTTCTTAGAGACTTTGATTCCCATCTCACAATGTCACCAAATTCCCCATTGATTAATCACCTGAACAGTTTATGATGTATGTGGTTTCATTGTAATCCTTGACCACCAACACATAGGGGCACACATGCCCTTTAAGGTGTTATCATATTTGATTCAGGAGATGATGCAAAATGCATAATTTGGTTAGGGCAGAACTTGAAATGGCACTATGGCCACCACGAGGCGTTTTTGCGATGGCTCCATTTCTGAAAATGTTCAAGATTAGATTAGAAAACTTTACCCTAGGTCCCAAACTGTTCAAGTTTTGTGCTTTTATGAAAATAGGGCACATTATTTTCACATATTACATCAAACATTCCATCAGAAACAAACTTCACAAAGTTAAGTTCATTCTGATGAGAAATGTTATTGTTGTTATTCATGTAATATCATTTTAAAGCTCTTTTTTGGAACTACCCATGCATAGGCACGTCAGATCAATAGGACGTTTGCCCAATTGCAGCATTGGAGGTCAAATTCTGTTGTCCTCAATGTCATTAAAATGTAACTGTTAGATAGAATTGTGTCTAAGATTTACATTGATATATTACTTCATGATATTCTGTGTAGGTTACCCTCTATGCTGGCAAAAAATATGGAAAAATTGTAACAATGGAGTGATGAAAAGGGGAGCGATAGCACATAGAAAGCTACCATTGCTGCAATGTTATCACACATTTTTTACCACTAGCAACCCTGAAAAACTGGCAAAAAATCAGGTTGCATTGAGCTCCTGAAGCTCCCAAAGATGCTGGATACGAGACAGGAAGTTACTTAGGGCTTCGCATTTCGGTCGTTGAGTTTTATTTTGAAAGTTTAAAGCGGATGCTGTATCGTTGAATCACGTGATTTTGACATTCGTCGTTGAAGCAACATGGCGAACGCCGGCAGAGTGACCGTTGACGGAGGAGACATAATGCGATACGCTGAATATTCTCCTAAAACGAACCCCAGGAGCGACACAGATACAGACAGACGACTGGCAAGTATTTGTTTTCCCGCTGCAGGCCTTTGTGGAGTGAATTAAACTAAACCAGGCTGGTTTGTACCTGCTAATGTGTGTGTTACGTAACCTCAGTGACCGCTAACGTAACGGTACGTCACGACTGTCGCAATAGCGCCAGGTGTATTAACTAGCTAACTTACTACAGCTAACTAGCTGCTAAAGCTCCTTTTAATAGTGGGTCATTTTGTGTTTTTTTATTAATTTTTTTACCGCTGACCGATGGTTTAATATAGCGTTACGTTTTTATCTTTTAGGACAAGTTGGTACACACAGTAATACTAACGTTACTACTAATGAGAAACTTAACATGATTAATGCCTTTTGAATATCGATTCAGGTGAACAAAATGCAACGTCACGAGCTCTTATCATATAACACTAATGCATAATATGTCCTGCCATTTAATAGCTAACAGCTACCTCCATGTTGCATCAGGTACTTAACATTCTTTTTATTTTGCATATTACTATGCCTAAATCAAAAGATGTTACCCTGCGTGCACATACGATGCTCACCCTGCAGTATGTATATATATAACAGTTATATAATACGATTGTGGATAGATCTATGTTGTACTAACGTTTCTTATGATGGAGAATAACTCTTCACAAGGGATAGAAACACCTTTTTTTTGTGGAAAATAATTCATAATATTCATAAAATTGAGGCGTCTTCATGACTTTAATTTCGATAGCTGCACAATCTTTATAGTTATAAAATCATTCGTACAACTTATTGACACAACACAATCTAGATGTGTTAAGTCACTAAATATCATCAGTATGGCACATTATTAAGTAATCGTAGAGGCCAAAATGGAAGAGATCCTGAGAATAGAAAATATAAACATGGCAGAAAAAAAGCCTTTGTGAAAATAGTTTTCTTAAAATCTAAATAGGAAATGTAGTATTCCATTGGAATTCCATCTATTTACTTGCTAATTTAAGTACTCATTAAAGTATACCAAGTTTTATTGGAGCACTTATTTTCTTTTCCACAAACGATTATCCATCAGGTTTATTTTTTGTAGAGCGTGGCTCACTGCTCTCTCTTTAAGAACCTGTGTTGTGTGACGGGTGTTTTGTTGACAGGGAGGGACTCTGATCGCAGTTGGTCTCGGTGTGGCTGCTGCAGGTTTTGCGGGTAAGAACAGTTTGATATAAGATCAGTAATTTGCCAAGATAACATTATCTGCATGTGCACTATTCTTTTCCAGGTTTCGGCTTATTTTCACTCATTGCTAAAATGTTGACCCCTTCGTGCCATCTAATGTTATTTTTAAGTGAGACTTTTCCATTCAGATTTCTGCTTTGCTTTTGTTGCTCCCTTTTCATTTAGAAGATGTGTTTGTCTTTAAACTGTTCCATGAATGTTGATCCACAGGCCGCTATGCATTCCAGCTGTGGAAGCCTCTTGGGCAGGTCTTCTCTGAAACCGTCAGGAAGATGCCCTCATCCGTGAGTCATTATTTCACCTCCTGTACATCAGCCGTGATGTTTACCATCCAGACCTATTCCTGTTTGTTTTTGTTGTGCACGTTGTAGATGGTTCAAAGAAACTCTTGCGATACCTCAGAAAAGAATATATAGAGAAACCTCTGGAAATTGAAAATCAAAGCTCTAGTCCTGTTCTGTCACCACAGGCTTTCTCGTCGTATTACAAAGGAGGTTTTGAGCAGAAGATGTCCAAACGAGAGGCCAGCCTCGTTCTCGGCATCGGGTAATAAGATGTGTTGTGTTTTATATCTCTTAAATGTTATCTGAAAGTCCTTCAGTGTGTGTGTGACTCACTGCTCAGAGTAACAGGATGATTGCTCACATAGATGTATTATTTGTTTATTTTGTCCAGCCCAGTCAGCACTAAGGCCAAGGTACGCGAGGCCCATCGGAGCATGATGGTCCTGAACCATCCAGATAAAGGTGAGCCTAAACTCTGACCGTCAAAGTGACAGAAAGTCAGATGTCTGTAAGACTGCAGTTAGCGCTGTGCCAGTGCTGGAGGAAGGTCTGGCTGAATCCCTCATAATTCTGCACTAAGGGGGAAGAAAAGCCACCCTGGGTTGTTAGTATTTATTAAAACCAATCAAAATAGAGGGAAGTTGTTTTGGTGGAACATTTGCACGTGGTGAGGCGAGTCCTGGCATTGATAGCTTAATCCGTGCAGAAAAAAAAACTTGCCACACAATATATGTGATACGACTTTTACTGTTTAAAAAAAGATAAACCTAATTTGATCATTGGTGCCCTAGAGGTGAACCCTTTTTATACTTGGACTCTGGAGCTCACTGGACGGGCAAAAATGTGTCTGTTAGACAGTGAATGTTGTAAACATATCCTTTGTATACGTTTACAACTATCCACCGAAAGAACCAATGGCAGGCAGTCTACATCCCGTGAGTCAGATTACATAAACTGTGACATGAATACATGTAAATGGTCACAAATTCTGCACAATCTGAGCAGAAACTGTTTATAGAAGTTGTTCATGCATAGTTAAAGTATCTGATGGGGACAATACGTAACTTTACAGAATAGTCTTTAGGGCTTGACATATACATTAGAAATCTGGCACATGTAGGCCTTAATAAAAACATGAATACAAAAAAGTTTTGTTTCACATTTGGAGATCAAATACATAACACCCAGAGCGGCCATATTACACATACACACTTTAAAATGAGAAAAATGTGCATGACGTAAAGTTAATAGAGAAGAAATAAATCCGTAAGTAGCCTAGGCGTCGTACCAGAAGGTGACATGTATTTATTGCTTTTATAAGAAGAGTTCTATGTCCAATTCCTCATACTGACGTATCACCCATTGACCCGGGCCAAAGACCTTGTGGATGGTTGTGTGTTAAATGAGTGATCACGGAATCAGACTGTTTGTGTGTGTGCAGGCGGGTCACCATATCTGGCCGCTAAGATCAACGAGGCCAAAGACCTTTTGGACAAGGAGAACCGGCGATGACCTGCACAGTTAACGAACACTTTAAAGATCTCCGCTCTGTGGCTCTGAGCCAACGTCAACACCAAGGCATCCACTCCGGCTCCTGGAGGCAAAAAAATCTGTTTCCTTCTCAGCGTTATTTATCCAAAGTTAATTTGTCAACATTGTGAACATATAAATATGTATGTCAACCAAGGGTGAAGGTTACTGCCTTGAAATGTCTTGACACATTCCCATGTACTCATTTTGAATAGTTTAGGTGTTACAGCTGAGGGAACGTCTGGGTGAACAGTCGCCCTCTAGTGGTAGCTGTTGTACATCAACAAGAAACAGGTTGTATAAAGTGTACAAATGGAAGCATGTGAAGCTAAAATGTAATGATGTAATCTATTTAAGGAGCAGGACAATGTTGCATTAAAATATGTCCATGTTTTAACAGTTAGTGTGGAAGTGGTGAAACACATTTTTTAAAATAAACTATTTGAAAACATTTACAGTTTAGAATGAGTGACTGTGGTTGAGTGAGCTTCAGACAAATAACAAAAAACACCTCGGACAGCAACTTTAAAATGCTTCTTTATTTAGAGGATGATGTCATATGTATACATTATTGGACAGAGAGCAAGACGCAGTATTTAGCGGTTACATTTACAGCAGCAGTTGTTGGTCAAAAACACCAACCAGTCACGGCTTTGCTTAAAAAAAGTGAAAATAAATAGAAAAAGGAATCTGTCCTTTTCTGATTTCAGTCTGGATCAGAAAAAAGCGGCACAGGTTTGATTTTCATGTCATGAAGGCAGCGAGCTTATTTAGAACAGCGAAGTGGTCAGAGCCTCTGGGTCCTTGAAAGATGTTAAGCATCATGGAAACACTAATGTTACAACTACAAGTCCCACAGACCATTTCAAGAAACGTCCAGTCAGCCGAACTCGAGTTGAAGTGAATCTTCTCTATAAATCAATCTCTTCCTCCTTTCTGTGTGTTTCCACTCGAGTATTCATTTGGTCAAATCTGTAATTGCCAAGATACAGAGTCCGGGAGAGAAAATAATGAATTTGTGCACATAATTCAATAATCAATGCTCTAAATTGAATACATTACATTATTTGGCCAAACTCAGGCAACTTAGTTTGTTACTTTTTTCCGGGATATATCCTCGGGTCATCCTCATCCTTTGGTCTTAGAAGGCAGAAATAAAATATCTTGTTTAAGGTGCAACATGCTGTGTCCCCACATTTAAAGGGGAACCATAAAGTTCAACTTCAAAGGAGACTCAATGTAGGAACTTCACTAATAATAGAAATGTTTTACTTTAAGCTGGTTGTTGTTGCTCTTTGGGACTAGTAGCTGTCTCCACAAGTTGCCATGCTTATGCTCATTTGTACATGTCATTCAGCCCGTCACCTGACGAGTCTATGGCGCTGCACACCTGATATACTGTGGCTCCGCCCCTTCCTGTACAGGCCAACGAGTTAATCTTCTGTCGGGGGAGGGAAATAAAAGGGGGATGAGGAAGCAAGAAAGCCGAGAGGTTGAGGGAGGCACAGACAGAAACCTTGGTAACCGCGGTAGCACCATGGAAGCTCCACCCACTTAGGTGAACAAGTGGGAAAAGCATGGGAAGGCATGCTGGGAAAGATGAGGTGGCGTTAGCTGTACATTAGAAGAATTCTTATCCAAACATTATTTCACAGTCGAGCTGTCGTCAACAGAGCATCCAGAGATATGAATATTAATAATTCCAGTATTTTACAGTTCTACCGGATGGCGTAACGGCAAAAAAACAGTTGGAGGGCGCTGTTTTCCCAAAGCAGACGGCGGTAGAGCCCTCTCAGTTTCTGCTGATCGGAGTGACAGGATCACATCCAACATGTCTCCCATCTTTCAGGAAGGGTAAGCAGTGAGGCTGATGGAAAGCTGCTGGAAGACAGAAGCAACCGGTCGCAGGTTTTGGTGGAATTTAATGAGCTGCCTTTCGTTAATGAGCTCTGTTTAACGCCGACAGCGGTCCATTAGCAGTCCTGCGTGGTCCTCTCTAAGTCTTCATCCTGCTGCCCCGCCGCCGCTGCCTCCTCCTCCTCCTCCTCTTTCTCGCCGATCACGTCCAGCCGCGCCTCCTGCCCGTTTAGCACCTCCTCCTCCTCGTCATTATGAAGCTCCACCTCCTGCAGCTGCAGCCGTCGCTCCTCAACCAGCAGGAGGCGCTCCCTGACACCCTCCGCCGCTGCCGCCGTGTCGCTGGGACTCCCGAAGTACTGCTCAGTCCTGAAACAAGGATTTTGAGTTAGGAGTCTGTATCATATGAAGTGTGTGTCACATTATGGGGAGTCGCCTTCTGAGTGGGCACGAAAAAAAAGGTGATTGAATTTTACGCTTATAAGCAGCAATAATCAATATCTCTATATCAACAATGGCTCACATGACTACTTGTAATCAAACCAGGGGAGTTGCCGTTATGTGGCACAACACTAACATTCAGCTACCAAGGCACCGTGCTTTAAGCGCCTTTCAACCAGAGACTCTTGCTGCTCTCATTGCAGCTGTTTTCAGTTACAAAGCTCTAAAAACCCACTGTATACAACCTGCTCAGCACCAAACAGCTGACAGACACAGTTAGTGAACACAGTGTAGCATTTAGCAGCTACAGAGCCAGATGTTTCCCTCAGGAGTCGGTAGAGACCAAAACAGAGCTAAAAGAGAGGGAAAATTGGACTTAAAAATCCAAATGAATGCTAATGTTGCCCCATATATATATTTGTCAATAAACAGCTGTTTGCTAACACGTTCCCGATATCCTTAAACATAAAAGGTGAATATGTTAAAGGTGATAAAGCTGCTAGCCGCCGGCTCAGATGTCGCCATGTTGAGAGCTGTGGAGCGGCAATCGAAATGCTCCCAATCTCTTATCTTGTCCCTTTAAGGATAGGGTTGGAGTTAGGCATGTAGTGCTTAGTAGTGTTTAGACTCCAGGGAACGTACGTCAGTGTGTGTGTGTGTGTGTGTGTTCGTACCCATCGGGAAAGATAACAGGCAAGGTCAGTCTGTCCAGCAGAGTTTTCCCAGAAGAATCGACTTCATCCAGAGACTCTGGGTCCACACATTCCTGCTGTAACACCTGAAACACAGTAAAAATCTAACTTTCGACATCTGTGTAGCTACAGCGGTGTGCCGGGGTCCCTGTGCGACGTTGATTATAGCTGCTTCCACTGAAAAGACCACCAACAAGTGCCCCGACTGCACATGCCTTTTTAAAAAAATGTTTACTGCTGCTGCAACACCTGAGACATCATTTTTTTTTAAATGGTGAGGTCTTTTCTCTTTCATCCCGTCTCACCCTCTCGGCGGCAGTGTGGAAGTTCAGGGCCAGCTCCAGTCTCTGCTGTCTCTCCTCAGCGCTGACGCTGAACTGCTTCCAGACTCGGTTGAGTCTCGGCAGAGTGTCTCCGGACGAGCGCGTCGTACAGCGCAGGGACTGACAGAGGACGACGGTCGCCTGCAGCAGCTGACGGCCGTAGTCGTACGTGCTCTGCAGGAAGAGACGGGAAGACGGAGACAAACAGAGAGTCCGTTATCATTTTCAGCATCAATTCATTATTTTTTCTGACTCTTAGAGTTGACAGTTTTACATTTATTATTTGAGTATCCTAAGAGTTGTCTGGAGGTGTCTCACCTGAGCGACGTCCACAAACTTCCTGTGTTTGTCCAACATGATCCTGGTCTCCTGAGAGTCGTCACCCAGTCTGACGTGGGTCTTCAACAGGGCGTCCAACAGCTCGCCAAGCCACTCCACTGCCTACACACACACACACACACACACACACGCACACACGCACACACACACACACACACACACATGATTATCTCATCAATACAGGAAGTATTGTCGGTTGTGTTGTTGTTTTTGTGTCCTACTTGTAAAGCATCTTCTTCACATTTGAACAGCTGGACCATCTGTAGCATCTTCAGCCTCCTCACATCCACCATGTCCTCACACCTGAAACACACACACAGGCTTCATTCACATATCCTAACTAACAGTTTATCGCGCCGCTATCGCCCCCTAGAAGCCGCAATGTCCATTACAGCATTAATATGAAAGAGTTGGATAAAATGAATGACATATTGAGGATTTATCTATTCTCAAGTGTTTCACCTGTAGTGGAGCTAAAAATGTCAACTTTCTCCTGAGGGAGGGAGGGAGGGAGGGGTGGGCATTAGAGGGAAAGTCTTGGTCACATTCAAATTGAAAAGAGTTCATCCTCTGAGGAGCAGGAATGACATTGGAAATTTGATGAAAATCTGACCAGTGGTTGTATACTTGTAGTTGTAAATGTGTTTTACTCCGTGCAACATTAGCATTAGCAAAAAGTCCTACCACAGGACCTCAACAGGTAGGGAGGAAAATGTCTGCAATAGCTTTAACAGTCGCACAGTTTGCATGTTACATACATAAAAAAATTGAGAGTGACCCAATAAATGCATAATCTAGAAACAAAAGTCTTGTTTCCCTTTCAAGCTTTTACTTTAAAACCAAAAAGTTGCTATACAAATAAAAATTTGATTGATCAACTATTGGTCTTAACGTACAGTAAAAATCGAAAGACTCCTGGGAGCTGTAGTTGTGGAATGTAAGCAAAATACTCCAGGTGCCTAAATCTGATCATCTAGTTCAGCAGTAGACTTTATCTAAAACAATTGAAGTTTGTATCATGTTCAAGTATCATCAACCCCACGTTGCTCCCCGCTTTGAACAGAAAAAGAAAAGACAGCTACCTCTGCTTGCGGAGCTGCATCTCCTCCATCACGGTCTGGACGTGCTGAGTGTTGTCCTGCTGATCCCCAGCTGGAGTCTCCTCCGCTTCCTCCAGAGGCCACGGCGGTTGGGTGCACATCTGCTCCATTAACAGCCCCCCCTTCTGACGCAGAGAAGCGAGACCTGCCTCTGCACGGATAGACGTAGACGCACACACTTCGATTAACGCCTCAAAAAAGCATTATCATTTCAGAGGACAAGCTTTATCATTCGTAGAGCACGGACCGACAGTCTGCAGCTTCTCCTCCAACAGCTTGAGGTTTTGTTGAATCGAAGCTCCGTCAGATGGAGCCACGTCAGCACAGAGCATGCCCAGCAGGCCGTCCAACTGCTGGGACAACTGCAGAGGGGGACACAGAGCTTTAACTGTTCAGAATAATTAACATACACTTATATTTTCATGCCACTTGATCCACATTCGGATTCATCATGGAACATTCTGGTTTTAGTTTGTGGAAAGAACAACATGTGATCCATCAGTTTACCTCCTGAAGAGCAAATTTTTTTCACTTTTGATGGGGCTAGCAGTTTCCCTCCATCCACAGTCTTTGTGCTAAGCTAGGCTAAATAGTCCGGGACCTATCTCTGTACTGGATGTGCAAAAAGTTCCTTTTTTTGGAGGCTGTTTACAGTTTGAACATCCAGCAAGCTTATGCAGAGTGTGTGTGTGTGTGCGCGTGTGTGTGCTTACCTCCTGCGTGATTCCATGGAAGCCCTGCGCCGCCTGCAGGACGTTCTGTCGACCCTCCAGCTGAGCAGCCTGCTGGTAGCAGACGTCGCTCAGCTGCTGCTGCAGCGCCTTCAGCTCCAACACCTCCTCCTCCTCGCCGGCACTGAGCAAGGCAGCGATCTGCTGGTTCAACTCCACATACACCGCAAACCACTCCTGTACAGAACACACAGACCCAGAATGAGCCCGACACAATACAGAACTAGCCTACACCGTTTAGGTACACCTAGCTAAAACTTCTAATACAACTGTCATGCAATAAATGCTGCTTTCACTAAGGTTAAGGTTGAATTGTGTGGGCAATTTACTGAGAAAAGTTGCTAATATTTAGTCCACTCTGACTGAGCGGTAAAATCTGTAAATATACCATGAAAAGGAATTTTCAAGAGGAGAGTTTGACATGTTATGAAATAAGTTTATTGGCCTTGCTGAGAAGATCGAGACCACCCTCAGATTTGTGAGTCCAATGTGAAGTTGGAGTCTGGAAACAATTAGCTTAGCTTAGCATAAAGGCCGGAGACGGTTTGTTTAATTTGAGTCTTGACTGTAGGGTGTGATCTCTCCTGGCCAAGAAATGGAAATGGTCCTTTAATGTTTGTTGAGTCGATTCAAGGGATATTGCTGTAAGTCGGCCAACAGCGATGAAGATTTAAAAAAATGTCATCCAACATTTATTTTACCGGTATATTCCCATTGAGATTTAAAGTCTCTTTTACGAGGGACTCACGGTCAAGACAGCAGCATAAAAAGTTGCACATCAAGGCACAAACAACAGACTTTTAGTGAACGTTTTTTTATGCTGCTGATGGTATCAATCACTTAAACCCCAACATGAAAGTGATATGTGAAATGCATTAAGAGTGAATTTGTTTCTGGCGGACTTCTTCATGGTCAAAACTCTACTCAGATATGTATTTAACCCCAAATCTGATTCATCAATGTGCTTGTCACATGATGACGTGCGTGTGTGTGTGTGTGTGCGTGTGTGTGTGTGTGTGTGTGTGTGTTTCCTCGATGCGTTGCATTACACTGTGCTGGCTCTCGATCTCCTCGTGTTTCTGCTGCAGGGCCTGAGCCGCTCGCATCGAGTCCCCGATCGCCTGCTGAGTCTTCAGCAGCTCTGAACCTGGACCCTGCAGCCAGGTGACCACCTGAGATGAAGAGGGAGAGAAAACACACAACACACACTGAGTGATATGCTTTAGAGGGAGCAAGTGGGAGACGCCGGTCCCATTAATTTTCTCCCCTCCAACTCATAGCTGGAGCACTCGCACGGTTTGGAAACCAGGGCTCAGAAACTGAAGCAGCTATATGAATGAACTCAACCACCATTAATTCAGTGTGCCTTTGTGGCACAAAAGCTTGGAAATGTTGTGCTGGTTGCAGTAAAGTGTCTATGGAATCCAACGGACTTACACATTTGGCTCAAAGAGCCACAGAGCGACATGAACTCCAACCAACTGCTCCATTAGACTCCATGTTAAATCTGACCACTCATTTCTCAAAGAAAGCAGACGGTACCAGTTTTGTATATTGCTCTGGAGCTCACATTTTTAACACCATAAACATAAAAAACACATTACTGCGTTTGGCAGAGTCTTATCTTTCTCACGGTGTCCATATTTTGGCACTCAGACTCCTGCTAATTTGTTAAAAACCTCCTGTCTGTCTGTCTGTCTGTCTGTCTGTCTGTCTGTCTGTCTGTCTGTCTGTCTGTCTGTGTCTCTCTCTCTCTCTCTCTCTCTCTCTCTCTCTCTCT